CCTTCCCCTCAGCAACCTAGAAAGATGAGCCCACGAGGAGAATCTCTGTTGCCGATGTCTCCCTAGTCGCTACGCCTTTGACCCTTTTGGGAAAGGTTGTCAACAACTTCACTTTCCAATAGTTGAAAGGCGAGGGGCATGTCGGGGATTTTGGCGCGGTTTTTTCAGTTGTTGTCGCGTCCCCACTATAACAATTCGTGGAGAGCGGAGTTGGTGGAGAAAGAGAAAAATGGAGTTCTGGCGTCGCCCTAAACCCAACCGCCTCCCCGACACTCCCCAGCCTCTGCAGTGAAATGACTGCACCTCTGACAGCACATGAAGGTCATGATTGTACAGCATCGGAGTGGGTCAAATGGCGGTGCCAGTACCATCCCTGCTCTTCGCTCCCCCTTCCCAAAATCCTTTGCTGGTAGACCCCCCCCCCCTTACAATCTACTCACGCTCTTACAAAAAGTCCCCTAAAATAACGATTCGCTTCCCGGGCAACCCAATACGACTCCTCCAATGGGTTTCGCCCAGTGATGCTCTACCCTGTACTAGGTCCCAGTTCAAATGGTGAGTCTTGGCTTCGGGGCAGCAATGAGGAAGAGCCCATCAAAAGCAGTGGACGCACCAGGGTCCAAAGAACTTTCTGGCGCAATTCGGCTTGATGGGGACATTTTACTGGTTCGCATCTAACACTGACAATGCTTCTTGTCAGGACATGTCAACTAACTTCAAGCTGTGCTGTAGCATGTAGCATTCACTTAGACTTGACAAGAATTTAGAGGACATGCCAAGGTGAGACGTGTAATTCAAAGAAACGGCAAAAGAAAGTAGCGAACGTATAGAATGCCCCTCCCTAAGCCGAACAGCACCGAATTCACCTACACGATCCACCCGACAGTAAACTCTTCTATCACCCGGCAATGGATATACCAGTATGTGGTGGATAAACGGATTCGGTATGATTAGCACTTCAAACGACAAACCTTTACTGAATGCCTTGTAATATGGAAGTACTTTCAAACCGGGAAATAGCATAAATAATATAAATGACGGACGAGCACTTATTTCCATAATGCGAACGAGCACAGCTTTCTGACGGTAGAAGAGCTCCATGTTGCTCTGCAATATGGCCTATCAACCACAGCAAGGGAACCTTTAGCACCATCCACCCTTTGCACCCACTTTTCAAAACTTGTGCGAGATTTCTCTGGAACATAGCCCTGGTTATAAAGCTGACTAGAAATTCTGTACTTGGGTATCGTTTGATCCCAAAAACACGAGAGGAGCATGTGTTCAACGCGAACTCTTGGCACCTGCGCCACAAGCGCTAGCGTCAGTACCAAGAAGCTGTTAAAAGAGGCTGTGCGCATTTAGCGACAAAACTGACCCTGGTGAAAGTTCTCAATGATTTTTTGTGTTCTGAGGTGTATCGGATCGCGAGAAGTTTTCACGGGGAACTAGAATGGGTTCCGGTTCGAGAAGTCAAACCACCCCAAACTCGACCACGTCCCCAGCCACATCGAAAATTTGACCCCTACCTTGGCTAC